CAAACATTATGACGGAACATTTATAAAAAAAAAAAAAGTAACAAGTCTTTACCACGACAACTTACAAATGATAATAGAGTTAGAAATTACCCACATACTGTACCACCTTTGGGTTGAATACAAAAAAAACTTAACAATACAAGTTCTAAGCACCTAATATTGGAAAAAAATTTGTTTTTATTATGCAAAATGCAGGCAAACTCCTGAATACCATCTAAATTTCACAAAAACATTGGAAACATTTGGGTACCTCTCTCTCTCTCTTTCTTACTCACTAAAACTTTTAGTCAATAATATGATTGAAGATCTGAAGTATTTGTGAAGCTTGGGGAACTATCAAACTATTGATAATCAAAATATTTGAGATTGGGTCATTTTAAAACACATTGTAGTGAACATTTTCACAACCTTATACCACCTGGTATCCAGTAACAGCCAGTAAGCCAGTAAATGCACAGATCAGGTGTCTTTTTCTTATTATCTTATTTATGTTGTGTTTTTGGGGATATTTTGCAGTATCGGTAATAAACCATATGTGTATTTATGGTTAACATTGTTACAGGCTCTGTTTACATGCAGACTTTTGTTTGTTTCTATTGTTTTGTAATAGGGAACAATGGACAATGAAGAGTATTGTATTGTATCATGACATTAGTCAAAGCTGACAAAATGTAAGTAATGTATTTTCCAAGCAGTAATGTGTATATTTATTAATCCCAGTAGCATTGGAGGAGTACTTAGAATCAGCCAATTTTCAAGTTTAGATAAGATAATTTGAATCAGAAAGGAGGAACGGTAATGGAACATCAATATCAATACAGCTTATTTAATACTGAACTCCAAAGGCAGCTAGCAATAGCGTCCATCCCAGTATTCAGTGCATAGGGAAAGACCACAGCTGTGTAGTGCAGGCAGTAAATTGGACTGACTGAGTCCCAGGCCTGTAATTTCACAATCCTCCACTGAGCATAAACATTCTCTGAATGATCTTCATTCCAGGCATTATCACTCCTCACGGGATTAGGGGTTATGAGGACGGATATATTAGTCTGTGAAAAAAGGACCTGCATGAATTTAAGTCTGCCTCGGGGCTCGACCTATTTCGCCCTTTATAATAAATAACATGATCTTGTTTATTCATTTATGAGCCCTGTGGTTGAGTAACACGTCTCTTTACTCTTCGTTGCTGTAATCCTTTCATTAGTGTTAACCACCTCAGTTACTGTGCCAACCTCGCCTGGTGGAATCTTCTCCTCCTGCTCTGGACCCTCACAGCTCCACTCCTCACCTCAGTTCTGTGTCTTTTCTCATCTCGTTCCTTTTACGTGAGTCAAAAAGCCAGAGTTGGCAGCTAGTGGCCAGGCTGTGTTCAGTCTTGTCAGGGTAAATTATGGATCAGGTGGCCGGTGAGCTGTCAGTTGTAGCAGCTATGAGCTTGTGCCAAAAACACCGCAGGCATTCCCTGGCACATGCACATACATACACACACGCACACACGCACGCACACACACACACACACACCTACCACACAACCCCCAAATGCATAAACATGGTTATCGCAGCAAGGGAGCCCCTCATCTTCAACCACTACCAAACCTCATGTGTGTTTCATCTGATATTACTTATTCACTGCACGCATGCACATACACATATGGAGGCAAGTTTATGAACAAATACAAGTCAACATCAGATTTATACAGGCATGCATGAAAGCACAAACACACACACACACACACACACACACACACACACACACACACACATATGGTGTGCAGACTCCACCTTCCTCATTCTGGAGGAGTTCCAACATGCCCCCAAATCTCTGTACAGGGTATTTTCTGGCAGTGAGACTACATCATCAATACACTTGCTTTTTGTAATTAGATGAAAGCGCGCACACACTCACACACACGCACACACAGAGCTCCTCCCCTTCTACAAATCAACTCATTCACAGATGAGACACGGGCTTAATCTAAGCAGCAGGGCTGTTAGAGAGATAAAGCCGGTTTGATCAATACCTGTCCACCTAAAGCTTAACTATCAACCTTTACTGTCAGTGCATAGTCTCTATAGTCAGCCTTAAAGATTCAGATTTTTCCCTCAGTTAAGACTGAAATCAATGTGATTCTCATGTGCTTTCTTTTGCCAAAGCAGATGCACTAAAGAGATGCAGAGGGGATGGATGCAGAGAGGGAGCAGCGGGGGAGGGAGCACCCCAGTGGCCCATACGAGG